GAATCTATAATGACAGCTAAAGACTTTCGAAATATAAACATTAATACGAGGGCTATCCAGAAAGTAGATTACGTTTTGGAATAAAAAAATAAACAAAGTATAGGAAACAAATTTTATTATATACAGATGAAAGCCACACTCAAATACTACTTTTCTACATAGACACCATACAAATTAAGGCATTTATCGTAGCGATGTACGAGCTTGGAAATTCCTTCGTCGAAAAATTCGGCCGCCTGCGCCTTCAACCACTTCGTTACCTCTTCTTGCCTTCCATCTTGCACAAAACTTGTGGTAACCAAGCTTTTCGCTGATGATTTCGTGCAACAAACTTCGCGAAATTTGTGGAAAACACTCAAAGAACGTTTCGTTATGTGAAATTTCGATTTTCACGACTTTAGCATCGACTTTTTCGAGAAGTTCGGCGGTCACTATGCTGGGTCTCCCACTTCGATCTTCGTCGTGAACATTGGTTTCGGCCATTTTGAAATCTTATGACCCACTGACGCACTCCACCTTCAGTGATAATGTTGTCCCCATACACTTCACGAAGCTGCCGATAGATTTCTATCGGTTTTACAGTTTTTTGCAGTCAGAAACCTTATTACTGAGCGCACCTCGCAGGATTTTCAATTAACGCAGACATTTCAAACCGTCACAGTATCTGAACGGAGCACAGCACGAACCTCTCACTAGCACGGCTAGATGCAGACTGAGCTGCGCAACGCTCTGACTCCAAGATGGCCGCGCTAGCCCCGCCCCTAGCGGACACAGACGGAAACGTAATCTACTTCCTGGATGGCCCTCGTATTACAGACTTAATTCTTTTAAATACAAGTTCTTAATGTTTCGAGGTCGTAACTAAGTCAGGATGCCCGAATGTAAACGCAACGTATTAATTTTATTTAAAATGTATTTTCCCGATTGGCAACAACAGTTTTTTTTTTTAAGAACGGTAATAATTTGAACTGTAATGTTTTTTAGCAGTAATGTTGATGGTAATGTTTCTCAATAAAGCAAGTATCTGGCAATTAATGTTTTAACGGTAATGTTTGACGGAATGTGTTTTTAATAAAGGAACTAATTAATTGCTAACACATGTATGTTCCTATGTCAATCAAGCAAAATTGGAATTGCTGCAAAAAAAGAGTAAAGGCATAGGCATCTCAAAACTATGAGAGCAGTATGACATTGCAAAAACATAAAAAGCAACTTTTCGAATCTGACACTTTATTTACAATGCAAACAAAAACATACAGTCAAAAGTCGTTAATCCGGACTCGTCAGGACTTCGTCAGAAAATTATTTGCGGAATCGTCAGGCGATTCCGGATTATAGATAATCAGTTTAAATCTGGCAAGATGGCATGCAGAAATTATAAAATTAAAAATATGAAACCGTAATTTATGAAATAAAGAAGAATTACGATCTAAAGGGTATCAAATTTAAAAAAAAAAAAAAAAAAGCTTAATATTTATTTCTTTACTTTATTAAACATTTCTTTCAATGTAAGTTGTTTAAGTTGCTTCGTTTTATATGATAATACTTTCTCTTTAATTCTATAAACAGACATAATTTCTTGTTCAGTTACAAAGTTCCGCTGTTCAAGTCCTATAATTGCTGTGTCGAGAATACCAACTAATTTGTCAATCGAAATTTTTTCATTTTCAATAACCTCTGTGTCACTTTCTTCGCTATCGGAAGCGAATTATAATGACGAGGAATTTGATTTAAATCATATCAAAGACGGAGTACATCAAGATGAAATAGATACTACATGTAGTAAGGAATTATAAACCAAATAAAATAAAAACATCTGCCCTTGAAGATAAGGATAGTGCTGACAGATCAGCTTCCAATTCATTGCGTGCCACGACGTATGAAATATAATACACACAGAAAATTAAATGACTTTAAACGCCATCCACAATGTAATAAAATCAACTTCAAGTTTTTTAATAGTTCTTTACCCCCTTTGGCTTGCTTTAGCCAGCCCTTGATATACAAGCGGTCATATTTTAATTTTTCCATCAAAAAATTGTTTGTAATGTGGCCATAAAAATCTCTGGTAATGAAACCTTTGCAAGTTCAATAGGGTTCTTTTTTGTCTAGCATTGTCAAACTCATCTAACTTCATCAAATTTCCCTTTCCATGTTTGCAGGTAAAACCATCCCACTTTTTTAGGTGGTGGTGGTGGTGTATTTAATTATGGCAAAGCACACTAGGGCTATCTGCCTAAGGGGAGGGATGCCTTTCGTGGAGGACTTTCTAAGGGAAACTGGCTCGTATACACGTTACACATGGGGAAAACCACGAAAACGCCCATGCAGCCAGCCCGTTCGCGGGATTCGAACCTCGGACCGAACTACCAGTGTTCAGCGTCTTTACCGCTCGGCCGCTGGTGGGCCCACTTTTTTAGGATTGGTGGGTTTGGCATTGCAACTTTCTAATTACTCCATATAACACTGTTGACATTTTTTAAACAGACATCACACCAGACAACCGCCTCCGGTGTTTAACTAGCATAAGAATTTACATAAGAACACTTGATTATAATTCTTTACCTTGAGATGAAATACTACATTTATTAAGGAATTATACGCCAAATAAAATAAAAACATCTGCCCTGAAGATAAGGATAGTGCTGACAGATCAACTTCCGATTCATTGCGCGCCGCCGAGTTTCCCCCACCCACACCGCAGAGCAGCGTGAAATTGATAAACAGATTTCGGAATGGTTAGAGAAACAAAGGATATGCCTTTATCCATTTTTTTCAGCAATTCCACTTTTTATTTGATGGACTTCAAAACATACTTTCGCTTTGTAGATCCTTTACATATTAGTAAATATATATCGGAAATTCTATTTGACATAATCGAAAGTTCAAGCTTACTTTTATGAAATTGCTCTAACAGTCTGCAAAAAATAATAAGCCGGATCCAATTCGATGATTAATGAACAACGCAATCTGCAACATTAACTGAATTAGATAATTTTAGCTTAGCTTATACTGTCCATTATACATTAAATGCGCATGTGTAAACATATTTTGTGCATGCGCACATGCATATTCGCAGCCGTAAATGTCTTACGTCGCCGTCAATCCGACGCATGCGCAGAAAGTTTGTAGCTTTGAGGTCCGGATTATAGATCATTCCTGATTATGGGTGTCTGAATTAACGCCTTTTGACTGTATTTGTTATGCTAAAAGTTATAAGTGAACAGGTTAAACAGTGCTGCAGCAAGGGCATGCCACTGACAGGTCCAATGCTAATGCCTCAAGCCTAAATATTGAACAATGAGGAAACAGATTTGAAAATTGAATGCACATACTCGGAAGGCTTGTGAACCAAATTTAAAAATTTCATTTATAAGTTAAAAATATCAGGCAAAAAGTTTGAGCTCATATTGAAGCAGATGAATTAATCGAACTCATTAATAGCTGAACAAACTGCAGATAAATTCATCAAATTCATTAATAGTGAAAAGTTACCGCCAGAACAGATTTAAAACATTGAAAAAAACTGGTCTTTTTCGGCAATTGGATGCCCCTAAATATCATACAAGTTATGCAGAAAAGGCACCAACTGTTGTCAAAGATCCCAAAATGATACTAATGATTTTGGCATAAAGAAATACTGAGAAGCTCACAAACGTAAACTTCAAATAGTCGGAAAAGAAAACGCCTCAGGTTATTTAAAGGAATAAATATTTTCTCAGGCATCTGCCATTCAAATAAAACAGCATGAACAATTGGTTTGAAAATCATTGAATCAATCAAACTCAATTGAATTACTGCACGATGTAAAAAATGTCCTGATTACGGACAGCTGTTCAGCCCATACTTCACTTAAAGTTTTAGAGAAAGATAATATCTCCATCGTATTCTTGCCATCAAACTGTACATCTGTCATTCAGCCAATGGATATCAAAGTATTGCATGCACTCCAATAAAGGCCTTTTTAAAATCAATGACACATTTTCTGAACAGACTGCAAAAACCATTCAAGAATTTTAAAATAACATAATATCTGCCATGTAGAGCATTGCAAGGTCATGGAACAGTAAGTCTGCAGATATTTTTTTTAAATATTCAGCATAATTTACGGCCAACTATCACATTTCATGGTGATGATGATAGCCATGAATTCGAACGTTTTCAGATATTACAAGCAATTTTCTAATTATTGCAATTTTTGAACAAATGTGGAAATGATAACAAATGAAGATGATATAACTGAAGTTTTCCACAATAAGGGCAAAACCCTGATCAATAATCAACTAACAGATACTGACATCTGCAGTATGGCTTTTACTCCCTAAAATATTGCTACCGATAGTGAAGTGACAAAAGTGGACAGAGAATGAAAATGATCTCAACTGATAGTTTAATAAGAATTCTTGGCATGTCAATTACAGGACTTAAAGGAACATTACAGGATTAGCAATTACAGGAATACTTGAACTCTGTAACTCGCATTATAAGGTATTTCTCCCAGTTCCCTAGCGTGCCTTCATGGTGTAACGGTAGTACGCTGGGCCAATATTCCAGAGGTCTGTGGTTCGATTCCCGGCGAAGGCAGCTGCATATTTTTCATCTTTTCTGCTTCCAATTAACCTAATGACTCTACAGCATGAAATTGTCTGCGTATAAAATTAAAGGAAAAGTATTAATATAAAAAATGAAACAAATAATTTACACCAGAAATTTTTAACATAACAAATAAATATTGAACATTTTCTATAAATTTTGATTCCCTTAAGGTCACTATTTCCTATTTTTAATTTCATAATTTCTATGTCACCTTACTATATCTAAACTGATGATTTAAAGTCCAGAAATTTCCAAAATCCAGAATTCCCAAAGATTACAGATCTCAGACATAGCAAGACTAAATTTTTCTTCCTTAGTTTTACAGTTATATACAATAAAACAAGTATTTCACTTAAAATTAACTTCTTTAAAGAGGCAAAGATAGAGGAAAGAGTCATACAAACCTTCCTATTTACAGGTTTAACTACAACTTCATTATATGCATCATTAGGCTTCACTGATGTCAAATTATCCAACAATATGTCAATCTTGTTTGAGTTATCCCAGCCAGCCGGGCTATAAAATCAAAAATTTTCATTCCATGTTCCTTTTCTGATTAAAAGTCTAAACTGTAGATAAAAGTTTATCCAAATACACAAACATGATTTTACTTTAAAATATTCCAATTTTAAAAATTAGTTTATATATTTGCTAATAAATGACTTTAGATTCTAACATTATAAAGAAATGCACAACTTCTATAACACAACTTTGAAGCTTCAAATGATCTTTAGAAATAAAAAAAAAACCTTACATAAATACAGCATCTTTTTCTACAACTAGAGCTGGTGTTCTAAAAGGAAAATTATATATCCTATGCACCAAATATTTATAAAGGAGGTCGCAATTTTTATCTTCCTTAACAGACACATAAAAAAGGGCGGCACCATCTTCACAAAATTAAGGAAGTAAATTTGCCAAGAAAATAACAAGTAATTACCAGAAATTACATGAAATTGACTTTCACAAAAGTCTATGGTATAATAAAAATAATTTTATCACTGCAGTTAACATAAATATTCCTACAAAAAGTATTTTTTGAATTTAAAATCATAATTGCTTCATGCATGAAAGAAATTCTGTTGCACAATTAACAAAACTTGGCAGATCCACATACCAGGACCTGCATCATATCTTTTTTTTTTCATATCTAATGAAATGCACTTTGATACAAGTCTGTGCCATGCTTATTTTTAATTCCTGTGTTCATAATTGCTCACTGGTGTTTTGTTCAGTATCTACAAAATCTGTCATTTAATGTGCGCATATTGAAATGTGGGCAATCCTTTTAAACCATTTATGATTCCTGTGTCTTAATATAGGGCCTTATGTTTATCCAAATGACTTTCTTATGTCAAAGTGTATTAAATTACTTTTTTCAGTGAAACAGAACTGATGCTAGTTCAGTGGATTTAAATTTTGTATGAAAAGTTTTAGTTAAAACTCTTACAATTTAATTTTATTGTTTCGATATAAAAACATGGTACACAGTATTCAAAGAATGAAAACACAAGTACTCTGACATTTTTGTTTAAAGGTTTTATGTTTGTTAATTTTCTTGGTTCCTTTTTGTTTGATATTTTCAGCTAACATAGTATGTTTAATAATTAATGAAATGTTATTTTGAATATTAAACACTGTTTCTTTTTGGTTTCATGAAAATGAAAAATTATGAATTTTATGAAATTTCAGTAGCTTTTATAATTAAATAAGCAAAGAATTTTAATATTTTTCATGGGAAGATTATTAAATTGTAATGTCATTCATTAATCATATTTATGAGTTATTTTTAAAATGTGCGAATAAAAATTAAGAGTTTTATAATTATTCTGATAATCATGCAAATATAAAAAAATAAGTGAAATTACTGTAATTTCGCACGTATAGTCCGCAGACACGATTTTATATAAAAAAATTTCAAAAATCGTCAGATAGTCCGCACCACCGGATAGTCCACGGACTATACGTCCAAAATTACGTTTTTTTAATACCGCGATATTAATGTATTTTAGAAACAAAGAACTAAGTATAAATAGAAAAAAAATACTTGCTTACTAATATACCTTCAGAAATAAAACGCTAAATACAAATAAAAACAGTGCTTACTAATTAATCATATATTAATTAATCACACATTCTACTACATTCAGGAAAACCTTCAAAGTCCGATTCATCGGTATCAGAATTAAACAGTTCTAATATATTTTCGGGAAGAGTGTCCGAAAGTTCATTTTCAGCATCACTATCAGTAATTTCCTCGCTTTCACTAACAATCCTGGCTTTTATAAATCCCGATCGGATGGTTGACACTTTAAGACTTTTCCAGGATTTATCAACCCATTCGGCAACTTCACTGTATGAAGCGCGTCTCATATTTCCTCCTTTTGTGAAAGTATGTAAACCTTCCAACATCCACATCTCCCAGCAAGCACGTACATGGGACTTGAAACTTTTGTTCACGCTAATACGCAGAGGTTGCAGGATTTTTGTTAAACCTCCTGGAATAATGCTAAGTTCAGCACCAATTTTTTTTGTTTTTTTTTTTTTTTTTTTTAGCTTCCGCCTTTACACTGTCTTTTATGTGCGCCTCATGGAATCCATAATTAGTACTCCTTTGGAACTGAAAAAGGCACCTTCTCTCTTCTTCCAAACTTCTTGAAACCAATCGAGCATAATGTCCTCGTTGCACCAACCCTTTTCATTGCACCGTATTACGACGCTTCGAGGAAAATTTTCCTTGGGAATTGTTTTTCTCTTAAAGATTAAGAGCGGCTTCAACTTTGTGCCGTCAGCACAGCAGGCGAGCATCACTGTAAATTTGAATTGGGTCTTTTCTTGACCAGTTGTTGTTATTGATATTGTTTTCACTCCACAAGTATCGACAGTGCGATTCAGTGTGGCAATCAAATGTTAATGGAACTTTGTCCATATTTATAATATTTTTTAGGGAATACTTCCCTTCTGCAATAACTTTCCTTGTAAACTGAAGGAAAGAAGCTTTTTTTTCATCTACGTTCGTCCGGAACAGCCTGACACATTGTCGTTCTGCTGCGAACTCTCAAGTTTTTACGATGCATGAAGCGGTAAACCCAATTTATTCCTCCCTTGAAATCCGTTATCTGCTCATCATCTCTTCTGCCATGGACTTCGCTCGGAGACGGATTTTAACTGTTGAATTTTCATTTGTGGAGTCATTCATTTGTTCATCCGGCATTTCTTTGGTCGAGAACCCATCTCAGTAAATTTTCCTCTAAAGCTGTCCATTTTACTTTTCCGTGCCGATTGGATCGCTTTCTTCCCATGCTTTTTAACACATCCTTTTGTTTGCGCCAATTTCTCACCGCTTTCTCGTCCACTTCAAAATAAACAGCCCGCTTCTCTATTTCCATCTTTTTCAGCTTTCTCAACTACCTTGAGTTTAAACTCGGCAGTAAAACTCCGGCGATGTTTCATCAACGTCATCGAAGATGAAAGACAAAATACTGTGCAACGTGGTATCCTCGTGATAAGTGGTAATGAAATGTGACCTTTGACCCCACTCACTCAGTGTTGCCAAACCACGCTATAAGTAAACGAATCACGGTTTTTTTTTTCGTACTCCAGGTACTTTCTACTAAGGCTCCTAAAAATCGAGCTGACGCATCAACTACTTTTCCCCCTCCCGGCAGTTGCGTTAAAGCAGTGCGAAGGATACTGGGATACAAGACTCTGGTTGCGCTGAGTGCTCATATCCGGCATCGCTTGATGCGCCAGCCTGGATTTTAGGAGCTCTACTTGCTACTACTCATTCGTTCTGCACTATACTCTATGGTCTATGGTTTACTATCGATACGATACATACGTATTTTTTCTTGGAATCTCGCGCTTTTTTTATATTTGATCATCGGCAGTTCACGACAACATGTTTTTTAAATTTCAATGATTTTAACCGTGAACAACCAGTGTATTATCCTCACTGGTAGATAGTCCGCAGCTTCAAAAATTCACATTTTAAACACAGATAGTCCGCGGACTATACGCGCGAAATTACGGTAATACAGATAAGTAATATGAAATTAAGGTAAATGCATTTTAAAATTTATGGGTGGTTGTTAAGTATAGAGTATGTTGAGGGAGTATTGGTTCCAAAACAGAAGCCTGTTATTACCTCTACACAGTTGTTCCTTTTACCGTCCTCATATAAGATAATGTTGAAGGCTCTCATTTTATGATAGAGTGTAATTTTTTTATACATTACTATTATTATACTTTTTTATTAGGGAATGTATTAGTGCAGTTCACAAAAGGCAGTTACACAAAGAACGGATGCCTTTTCAAGTAACTGGCTTAGCACCCCTGAGCTACTAGTGCAAAACATAACAAATTAGCTCACATGGATAGTCCTACAGATGGAAATGTTTGTTTACAAGTACTACAGGCCCTTCCAGTTCAGTAAAATAAGGAATTGCAAATGAAAAGACAACAAGTGAAACTATAATTTCGCAGTATTACTGCTCCTACGTTTGTGGTGTTAAAATATAATTTATCATTATAAAAATCACTGCCATATATTTTTATGTTTCAGTTAATAAGCAATAAGTAATGGTTACGTAGAAGTTTTTGTGATACTCTGTGAAGATGAAAATTTTCCCTGAAAAATTATGATTATGTGAACTTTAAAACAAAAAGACTTTTGGACTAATGGTGAAAAATTTAATAGGACTCTAAAAATTTAATTTATTTTTAGAAATTGGTATTCAAAAATTATACTTTAGTTATTTATTAAATTATGGTGGTCAAAATTTTACAATTTACATTTTCTTCATTTGCTACTGCTTTAGCGCTTTTTCTTTAAACAGACTTCTCTGTCGCTATGCCCTTTTTACCCCTGAAGGGGAGAATATGTAAAAGATAAAATTTAAATTAGCAGTGTAAATTAATTTCACTTCTCTATTCTAAAAATAGTAATCTCTCTTTGCACTGCGTCGTTTCGAGATTAACCCCTTAACTGCCGTGGAAAACGCACAAGATTCATTTCCCAGAGCCACCGTTTTTCACACAGGTGCGCATAGTTATGCGATGTATTAGGGGGAGAATAAGTACAAGTTTTACTTTCTAAAAACTGTTTACTTTCACAAAATAAAGAATAAAAGAAAAAATGAATGCACAAAATTTAATGTTTGAGTAAAAAAGTATACTAAAAAGACGTAAGTACAATAAAAATGATGTTTTTATAATAAAAAAGATCCCTAAAATGGAGTTTTGATCAATTCATTTTTAGACCAGTAAAGTGTAATATCAGGTTTCAGCATTATATCTTGTGAAATCAGTATGCCTAAAAAAACATATATTTCTTCTGAACTGGTTGAATGCCATGATTTTCTTGATTTTTCGTTTGCAAGGTGTTACTTCATATACTCGTCTACAAAACGGTTAGTTTCAGTAACAATATGAAGCACGAGCAATTCATCAAAAAATAATTCAAAAAAGATAAATGGGTTTAAAACATCCATTATATATTTCTTTATTCCTGGAACCTAATATAAAAAGTAAACAAAAACGGAGGACGCAGAATAAAAAAAAAGTTTTACTCAAATAACACCAGCCAATACCACGCAGTCATTACTTTCACGGCTTTAGACACATCCCTCTCTCCAATTTCTCCCCACACTTCTTTCAAATAGTATCCTCCTTCACATACTTTCTCAAGGTCATTGTAGTGTTGCATTCCAAAGCTTTGCAAATAATTTTACGGGTAGCAGCGCAAAGCAAATGATAGTAGTTTGGAAGGGCATATATATACACCCGTGGCAGTTAATGCATCGGCAGAGCAAGGCGTACATATATGCCCGCGGCAGTTAAGGGGTTAATACATGTTATATGACGCTTACATAATTCTGATAATGTTAATGGAACTAAAACTCAAACAGCTAATAATAATTTTACAGCAGTATTATTCAATCAAAAATGTATTGATAACAAAAACTAACACAGTCTGAATTAAAATTTTACTCTCAACATAATTCACTTGCTGTCTATTATTTGGCCTAGCTGGATTGCTATCTGCTGCATCTTTTTTACTGCAAAGTTATCAAAAATGTAAACCTCTTGAAATAGGCACAAATAATGTGCCCAGTTATTGTGGCTGCAACATATTTGCTGAAATAAAATAAAAGAATTTATCTGCCTCGGCTGCCAGTTTCCTATTCAGCGTGGACCGACGTTTCAGCATTCTACAACATCAAAATCTTTGCTGTTCATTACGGATATAACCATTTATTTGCGTTCTACACCATTAATATTGGAAAGTCCCCTTTTTATTATATATATATGAAGAGTAACTAGAAAGCATATTAAATTAGCAATTAATGACTCAGCAGTGCTAGTGTTGCGATAGGATGAATCCTTTTTCTACTGACTAATAAATGGAATAGAACTGAGCAGTCTACATCTGCAAAACATGATTATTTTTGGCATTTCCTGAATACAAGAAACTGGAAGAAAATAATTAGAAACTTTGTTAATTATATGGAGAAACTATTATAACTAATACAATTGAAAGAGCACAGGTTAGGAATTTTAATGAAGGATATGAAAATATACATGATGAGTTAAATAGCTAAAAGTCTTTTGTTAATAAGAAGTGAATTCATACAGTCAAAAAATGTTCATAAGAAGAATGAATCATATTTTCATCACTTTCTCTGCATTGTCCACAAATTTAACATCACCAAGAGTTTCATCAGCACATGCTGTGTGTGTACTAACTTTTCTGATTTCACTTCTTGAGCGGAATCATTTCAAGTTATGAGACATGGATAAGACACAATTCCTATATAAAATCAGCAGCTCATAAATTGAAGATATACCCATCATCTTCAAAGAAGAAAGTTAAGTACACAAACTGATAGATGGTTTTTTTCCCATGCAGACTAGGCATGGTTTTTGTCACAGGCATTATTCTATGATACAGGGGTAAAAAACAGGTGATCCATTAAGAATCTCCAATAATGGCATTAACTAGGCAGAAAATAAGAGAAGCAATTTATAGATTCCAAGGAAATTAAAATATTTAGCACATTAAATTTTTGTAATTTCCAATCAAAATATATTTTCTGGGTGTCTTATTAAGATGACTCGTACTTACGGAGATGATATGGTGCAATACAGTGGTAATACATTACAAAAGGCACAGAAATACAATAAATCACTATGAAATGAATAATAATTTTATATACAATATTTCTATGTATGCAATTTTGTAAGAGATAAGCAATCAGAAAACATACCAACTTTAATATACATATTTGTTCAAATAGAAAGGCATGCGAAATACATTTGTAAAATGCACAGAAACCACAATAAAGCGTCATGAAGATACAGCACTCGCTAGTTTTATAAAATTGGATGTTAAATAGGGATTCCAAATAATTAACGTATCAACTTTAACACATATCAATTTGTCCGACAAAATAAAAAAACAGAAAATTCAGCAATAAGGATACAAAGTAAACAGAAGTTCCTGATTGTTAGTTGAATAAAATCAAATATTTCTTCTTTGAAGTCATACTCTTTTTCTAATGTTGACATGTAATCTGTCTAGAGAACATGGAAGTAAATTATAAATTTCAATAAATTAACAAATGCAAATAAAACAAATTTGTCTACTTCTATTGTTAACTTTGAAGATGTTTCATTCTTTTATTAAAGATTTATCACAATCATTCAGCATCTTATAAATACAAAATATGTACAGTGGCTCATATTTGTTTTCAGATAGTTGTATTTTTGAAATTTATTTGGTAAGAATATTTGGAATTTTTAGTTATTTCTAAATATAGAAAACTCACACTCCAATTTTTTTTTCTACATTTTAAAACTGGCTTATTACAAAATATATATCACCAAAATATTCTTTGCAGTAAAATAATTTATTTTAAATGAGTTAATCAGTAATTTGCATAATAATTTGGATACTCGAAAATTTTGTTGAAATAATATGGAAGACGATATTTCTTGTCATTTTTTGTTATAAATGAATAAATAAACAAGAATTATCATCTATATTTGGAAATTATTATTTGTTTAGCAAAATATCAACATTATTATAACATTAATATATTAACAGTTCCATGTCCATTAATATATTAACAGTTTCATTATCAACATTAGTATATTAACAGTTCTACGGCTGAAGTGAACATGGCAAAACACAACAAATTAAAAACAAATTCTGTTCAAAATTTTACTACTCAAGATTTTAAAGGTGATAAAAGTATTCAAAATACGAGGGCTATCCAGAAAGTAGATTACGTTTTGGAATAAAAAAATAAAACAAAGTATAGGAAACAAATTTTATTATATACAGATGAAAGCCACACTCAAATACTACTTTTCTACATAGTCACCATACAAATTAAGGCATTTATCGTAGCGATGTACGAGCTTGGAAATTCCTTCGTCGAAAATTCGGCCGCCTGCGCCTTCAACCACTTCGTTACCTCTTCTTGCAGCTGTGCGTCGTCATCAAAACGCTGCATAGCCAGCCACTTCTTCATTGCTGGGAATAGGTGGAAGTCGCTCGGTGCCAGGTCGGAACTGTACGGCGGATGAGGAAACAACTCCCACTTAAAAGATTCAAGAACTTTACGAGTGACATTTGCCGTGTGGGGCCGGGCGTTGTCGTGAATCAACAAGATCTTAGAGCTCAACATTCCTCTGCGCTTGTTTTGAATTGCTCTTCTGAGTTTTTGGAGAGTTTGGCAATACCTTTGAGAGTTTATTGTAGTGCCTCTTTCCAGGAAGTCCACCAAAATTACACCTTTTCTGTCCCAAAAAACAGTCGCCATCATCTTCCTTGCCGACATTGTTTGCATGCATTTCTTGGGTTTTTGGGGAGAACTTGTGTGCCCCCACTGCATTGATTGCAATTTCGTTTCACAGTTCACATGTTTCACCCATGTTTCGTCACCAGTAACGATGCGATCGAGAGTAAAGAGTCACCATCCTTATGGTAAGCGTCCAAAAAGTTCAACGCTGCAGCCATTCGCTGATTTTTGTGGTCCTCTGTCAAGATTTTTGGAATCCATCTTGCACAAAACTTGTGGTAACCAAGCTTTTCGCTGATGATTTCGTGCAACAAACTTCGCGAAATTTGTGGAAAAACTCAAAGAAAGTTCCCGTTATTGTGAAATTTCGATTTTCACGGACTTTAGCATCGACTTTTTCGAGAAGTTCGGCGGTCACTATGCTGGGTCTCCCACTTCGATCTTCGTCGTGAACATTGGTTCGGCCATTTTGAAATCTTATGACCCACTGACGCACTCCACCTTCAGTGATAATGTTGTCCCCATACACTTCACGAAGCTGCCGATAGATTTCTATCGGTTTACAGTTTTTTGCAGTCAGAAACCTTATTACTGAGCGCACCTCGCAGCTCGCGGGATTTTCAATTAACACAGACATTTCAAACCGTCACAGTATCTGAACGGAGCACAGCACGAACCTCTCACTAGCACGGCTAGATGCAGACTGAGCTGCGCAACGCTCTGACCCCAAGATGGCCGCGCTAGCCCCGCCCCTAGCGGACACAGACGGAAACGTAATCTACTTCCTGGATGGCCCTCGTATTTAAAAAATCCTCGAGGAAAAGCGTTAAATTATTTTTGATGTATCAAAATAGGGAAATTGCATGGAACCGTTCAAAATGCATTTAAGTCTTGACCACATTCTAAGCTAACTCGGAGGAATCAGTGATTTATCCTTCGAAAAGTCAAACAAAACCCCAAAATTAGTGCTGTAAAACTTGCAGCAGATTTAGAGGAATGGCTTAAAATAAAAATTAACACAGAAACTAGTAGAAGAGTCATTACAGCACATGGATACAACTGGCAATCTGCAAGAATAAAATTCTTCAACAAGGAAACAATGGAAATACATCTGGCATTTGCAAAATCCATGTAAGCAGAGATTCATCAAATTGAAATAATGTGAAAGAAGAAAATATGAAAAAAAAAAAAAAAACTATTACTTACCGTTAATCATGAAAGTGGAAGTATAATTGTTTGGCTATTTCACTGCCTCTGGGATGAGAAATTTACTTTCTACAGAAAATAATATGGATCAGTATAAATATATGTTGTTGTGTTGTTACTTATCTCATTTGTCTGACAGTAATATCAGAACAAATCCAGGAAATTCAGCATGGCAAGCAGCGCAAGATTGTGCTTGTTGTTGGCAAGTCTTGAGCACCATAAAATCTACTATATTAATACGAGGGTTGGAACTTTAATAGTGGCAACTATTTATTTACAAGGAATACAAAAGTGATTCATGTCACCATGTTTTACAGTCCTTCAATATAGTCGCCAGCATTGTGTACAACCCGTTTCTAACAATGTGGAAGTCGCAGAATACCTGTAGCAGCGCCTGTTTGTTTTGTTGATAGTTTGAATGGACCGGTCTACTGCCGCAAGAATCTCAGGAACAGTTTGGAAGCGAGTGCCATGAAGTGGTTCCTTCATCTTAGGAATTAAGTCATAGTCACAAGGGCTTAGATTTGGGGAGTATGGTGGATGGTAAAGCACTTCCCAGCCCCATCGCTTGAACAAATCAGTCACAGCTTGCGCTGCATTCGGCCGAGCATTGTCATGCAAAATGAGAGGAGCATTCTGCAGAAAGTGTCACCGTTTTTTTCCTCAAAGCTGGTCGGAGATTGTGCTCCAAAAATGAGCAGTAATACTGCACAGTGACAGTCTGCTGTGGGGAGCATTAGGATGACACCATCACAGTCGTACACGAGAATCACCACAACTTTCACATTGCTGGGGTTCTGACGAAATTTCGAACGTCGTGGTGACCCGTGGTGACGCCATTCGTTTGATTGACGTTTCAGTTTTGGCTGGTACGACTGGGCCCAAATCTCAACCAGCGTAATGATACGGCAAAAAGCATCTCCTTCGCGCTCATAGCGCTCCAGGTGGGTTTGGGCAGCATCGTATCGTAGCCATTTCTGCATTTCCATCAATTGATGTGGAACCCATTGTGAAGCAATTTTTCTCATGGACAGGCATTCCTTCAGAATGTGCAGCACAGTCGTATGCGCTAATCCTGTTTGTCCGGCCAGCTGACGAATCATTTGGCGGTGATCACTGTCCATTAGTGCGGCAACAGCTTGCACGTCTGCCACATTTTGGTGTCCTTCATTGAATGCTTTCACCCATCTTGCTACGGTTCTGTAAGGCAAGGCAGATTCCCCGCAAGCCTCTTGAAGCCCTTGATGACACTGTCGTGCTGTACGACCTCTGGCACATTCAATTTTTATCCAACATCGTTGTTCTTGTTTTGAAAACATCCTGACAACACTTACGACCACAAGCTAATACAAGGATCCGTTCTTCGCGTCAATCCGCATGCGCGTGACGTAGGCAGGACGAGTCTTTTTGCTGAGAGGTAAGGTAGGTATATAGTTCACGTGTGGCAAACGCGATATTCTTTGGTTTTTTGCGTAGCGTTTTTTCAGCTGTGTTGCCACTATTAAAGTTCCAACCCTCGTATATAAATATTATTAATAAAAACATCAAAGTATCAGCAAGAAACTTGGAATGCAAAATACATTCAAGGTTTATCAGGATGAAGATCCCAAACCTACAGCTCTTTATTCACTTGGGTTTATTGTACAACAATCCTGAAGTTACTAAAACTCTTCCATACTCTGACTTAAATCCTGTCGAACTTGTATCGACTGAGTTGGAGAAAAGAATAAGTAATACAACATTCTGACATGACGAATTCTAGTCAAAGCATTTATTATGGAAAAAATGGAGCAAAATAGAACCTTCTTACTAAAAAAAATTCATTAAATCTATGCAAAAGGGCATGAAAGTATTATCTAACTACAAAACATTTAACAAAGTATTGAATGTCCCTATTATATTTTTATTAAATACAATCTGATTGTTCAAACTATCTGAATACATATGTAAAGTCCTTTTCAAAACTTTTTGAATAAATTATTTTTTCTTACGACACAAATTTCTCACACATTTTCAAAAAGAAGCATATTTATTAAAAAAAAAAAAAAAAAAAAAGAATAACATTTGTAAAAGAAAAAACAATCATTTTGCTAATATTTATTTTGCTTTATTCTGCAAATAAAAATGAAAATTACAGATGTACAAAAACAAAAGTAAGCCACTGTCTGAACTAGATTAATTAAGACAAAACATGACACAATGATTTGCCTAAAGGAAGATATGCTTTGCAGGATGCATTTCTAAGAAAAACTGCTTCATATTTATATTGCACATAAATAAAACCAAGAAAATTTCTTAAGGCTAATCTCTTCAGTTCCTGAAAACCAAACTTGCATCAAAATAAATACCAGTGCTTTGTGGGTTTTGCAGCTCAGCTGTTGATCAGTCAAACTTTCCCATTCAATAACCCTTTTTATCTATGCAAATATATTCGTGACTGTGTCTATAAAGGTACAAAAACTAATTCTCTTTTTCAAACTCAAGTTTTATACTTGCAGCATGTAACAACTCAGAAAATTCTTGAGCCCAAGGACATTGAAAATTCTTGTGGAAGTCTCACAGTGAACAACTCAATCTGCATTCGCTTTATAGCAGCATACTGCTTCCACAACTGGTGTGTTGGTATGGGGTGGCATTGCATGCACCTGGTATCTCTAATACCAATCTATAGCAAAATGAAAGTTCAAAGGTACACTCATATCTTCCAGCCACATGTGTAGCCACTTATGGCAGGACTCCGAAGAGACATTTTTCAACAGGACAGTACTTGGCCACACACAGCCTGGGTATCACAGGAATCCCTCTGCTTTACTAATTCTTCCTCTGACATGCCTTATCTCTAGATCTGTCATAGATCAAGCACGTCAGATATCACTTGGGATGGCAAGTTTGAGAGCCTTGGAGTTTGGTCAAACTGCAAATGCACTTACAGCAATTGCGGAATAAGATGACACATACCATATGGGGTCTGTATGCCTCAATGCCTGCCCGTATTCTGTATTCAAGCTAGAGATGGCCCAACATGAAAGAGAATCTCCATTAATTTATAGTTTTTCTTGTAATAAATTATCTTTCTGCTTTGAGTTTCTTATACCAATGTTGCATTCACACATACAGTACAAAGTCCGTAATCCGGACTTGTCGGGACTTCAATTCCGGATTAGGGTTTTTTCCGGTTTATAGATCATCAATTTAAATCTCGTAAGATGGCATGCAGAAATTATACAATTAAAAATATGAAACTAATATTTATGAAATAAAGAGCAATTATGATCTATAACGTATCAAATTTTACAAAAAAAAAAGGCTTAATATTTATTTGTTTACGTTATTAAACATTTCTTTTAACACACACATGCGTAATAATTGCTTATTCAATCCTCTGCTACTACTATCAAGATCTTCAAGCAAAGTTATCAATCTGTTTACTTAAGAATCACATCTCCCGCAGATTTTAAATCTGCCTAAGAATATTTTCATCGCGATCTCAGTAATTATTTGCACTCTCCAACACAAGCCACATGCCAATGAGCCTATTAATCGTAAACTCTTTCCTATCCACTTTTTGCTTTAGTGTTTGTACTGTGTATAAAAAATTATAAAAAACCAAAAAAAAAGTATAAAATATAAAATACAAAAAAAAAAAATTTTTTTTAAAACCTAAAAACTTATAAAAAGATTATGATACTTAAGTTTTTTATTTCTCATCCCTATCCCTAAGCTTTCTCGAGCCTGTGGCTCTCTCTAGTGTGCATCAAGTAAATCACTTATGCAAAATTTTTCCTATTTCTGCTCGCTTTTAGTAATTCTGATGTGGAGGTAGATGGTTTTGAACCATAGGCACTCCGAAACTTTTAAATCATTGGCATTGACACATGCGTAAAGCATACAAAAAAAACAGTTTTTGAGGTCCGGATTATAAATCATTATGGATAAAGGACGTCTGGATTACGGACTTTGTACTGTATATAACTCCATTCGAATATGACAACTCTTTCTTGCTGCGCAATTTGTTACAGCAATGAGCAGATAACAAGGGCACCTGTAAGTACAGTATCCTCTGCAGATACTCATAAGGAAGGGCTGCTGTGTTGCAAAAAGAGTAGTGTCCATGCCTTTTGTAATTCTTTAACTCTGAAGTAATCACCGTAAAGTGTTATTCTTTCTCTCATTATCTGATACCAAATCTTAAACAACTGTAAAGATACACCTGAATTTGATGCAACACTTCTTAATACTGAGTGTAACAATGCATTTAGCTTCACTATGAGTCTCTTCATATGAGAATGTCAAGTCATGCAGTCATCAATTAAAATAACGACAGAGTTAATTTTTCGATCCAATCCTACGTTATCCCCCTTAGGTTTGTACAAAGAGTTCTTCTTTGGTATTTCTTGGAGCTAATAACCCTGTCTTTAAGCCCAGTATTGGAGAGAGATAAACTGTGCTCTGCTAAGTCATCATGGCATTTTGAGTCTATCATTCAAACAATCTTATTTTTTCTTTCCATTCGTTACCATTAGAAAGACATCTGCACATGCCAATATCTAGACTCCTTAAGTGTTATGCTAGCAATGCGGTTCCATAATATTCTGGAATCTCCCCCCCAAAAAAAAAAAACCATTCCCACACCTTCAAAAACTTCCAAACTGTTACCAAATTGGTAAGAAATCACTAATGTTATCAATCTGGCGATGTCACTTTGTAGAAAGTTTCATCCACATCTCCAGTTCTGTTGAAGCTATTCTTACAATTCCAATATCAAAGGCCTCAGAATTAAAAGTTTTACTAAATGATACATAAAACAAACATATACAAACATGATCAGTGGCAGCGAATTCAAAATTAAATAAAATACCTAAACAAATTCACCATAAAAATACTAAACAAGTAAAAAAAAAAAAAAAAAATTAAAAGATAAAAACAAAATTACAAACACACACAAAAAATAAAATAAAAATAAAAGATAAAAAAAAAATTTCAAATGACACAAATATTTACAATATACTCAGGGATTTAACAACATTCTAGACACAGAAATGAACACACATATTCCTGCTGCCATTCGCCATGCATATTTCAAGCTCTGGAAAACATTTTAAATGTTCATATTTAAATTTTTAAGTTCCATTTGGCAGTATAAGTATTTTAAAATATCAAATAAATTATGCACTAATAATAAGTTACTTGTTTTACCAATCAGTTTTTTAGAACAAACATGCTTCAATAATTAAAATGCATACACACTACAATTTTCAGACATTTACAAGTATCTACAAGTATTTATTGACAACAAGTGATCTCAAGGATAAAAAATATTTGATTATATATAGCTCAAAGGGCACATAAATTATTAATTTACCTATAATTAATATACTATTCTGAAGTACGAATTTCCTCTCATATAGAAAGAGTAGTGCTGATAGTCCAGTTTCATCCAGTACAGTCTGGCAACTATCATTATTTAACAAGTTTTGAATATGCTGCTTTTAATTCAAGTATCTACCATCAAATAAGTTCTTATACTTAGCAATCTTAACACTTAACAAAATGTCAACTAAGAAACCAAGAGTTGCAAATGCTGACATCTAATTAATACCGTTGCAAATGCTAAAATCTAATTAATACAAGTATATATCATCATCAGTACTTCAAAAGAAGGAGTTAATGATGTTAATCACAGAAAATTTATGAAGACTTACAACTACTACAAAATTATTAACATGCATGACATTAAGAATTAAAACTACATAAGTTTTACAAAGAAAGCGAAATGATTTTAAACTGTAGAACTGTGTTTAGAAGCTTCAATGAAAACACTTTTTCTAGCTCTTAGCTTTGTTCTACTTTTGATATGACACAAATCAACTAAATAAGATAGATTGATTTCCATTCTCTATTATTCAACTATAAGCAAAATTGTGAATTTGTATTAGAATTTTTACCACTATGTTTTAAAATTTTAAGTTCTTTGAAATATTTTACACAGAAGTTGATTTTTTACAAAGTAGCAAAATGGTAATTCAAATGGAATTGATGCATCATGTTTTTACTGAATTAAACTAATTCCTAGATACCAGAAGAAAGATGAAGGCTTTTCCACGCATAGAAATGGTGATAATTTTATTAATATTTTTTTAATTTGTGGCTTACATTATTCTTTCAAATATGCATTCAACAGTAAGACTTCCTCTTTTAAGCAAATTCAGTAATTCAGTAATAAAAATTCTCCTGGATGTCAATCAATACAGAAGTTAAGAACTATTTTTTCTTTACCAAAGAATTCTTGAATGAGCCTAACTTTGAAAAATCAAGCATAGTGTAAGCCATAAGTAAGCAACTAATTAAATTGTTCGCTATACAAATAAACTTACTTAGGAACAGTATAAAACTCTTATGTCATAGAAATTATTAATCATGACCTACATTCATTAACAGCATTATCAAAATAATTAAAATTTTATCTTAAATGAGGTCTCACAACAAATATCTGTCACACATTATTACAGAAGTTTCACTACATGCAGAAAGAATGACGTGATGATTTAAATAAGAGATTAGATTATGCACAGCACTACGTGATCAATGCTTAACAGCCAGAAGAAATTGCATAGAACACTAAGTAATTTCTCATTAAAAAAATACTAGAAAATTCGCTTCTACCTCCCAAAAAAAGCTCTACTTTTAAACTTGGCTGAGATACGTTTAAAAAAATATGAAATGTTAAAATTCTTGCAAGTAAAACTAACCTTTGTAATTATCACAATTATCTCCAAACCAAGGTTGATCTTAATTTCCCTGTTAGAGAGAATATTTTCAGCATTAGATCCATGTATTGGTCTTACAGGAGATGTTCCACCCATGCCATCAATTTCAGCTCCTGGTTCAACATAATCCTGAAACCTTTTTAACACTACAAGCAAAAATAAATATTTAAAGGTACGAGTAATATAATATAAAAAGTAACATTACGATATTAAAAGTGAATAAACTAACACAAATAATATAACACAGTATTTTAGACAATTACTTCAAATAAGTTAAAAAGCAATTTTCTTTAAATAAAATAAAAGTTCTAAAGATGTTTATGTTTAGAATTTGCATTCCAACAAGAATATTTACATTTTTGACATTTGCATGCTGTATCAGTGCTGTACCAGTGCGCAACTCGTTGTAGTGCAGGTATAAAGAATTGAACTTTTTGCCCAGAGATTCTTTTGCAGCTGTACTTAACCGTCCCTACTTGTTTGTGGTCGACATTTGGCATCAGCTTATCACTAGTGATGAGTCGGTACTACCGAACCGGGTATTTTGTAACAGGTACCGAAAATCGGTACATCCAAGTACCCGTTACTTCAGTACTGAAATTGGTACTTTTCGGTATTCGTTACTTCTGTACCGAAACAGGTACTTTTCGGTATTCATTACTTCTGTACTGAAACGGGTACTTTTAGGTATTCGTTACTTTGTAACAAAAATATGCGTCTCTTCTCGGTATTCATTACTGGAGGATCGATGAGGGTTCAGCTCACTTCGGTTTTGGTACAAGGACAGTAGTATCTGGTTGTATTTGCGAAATGGTGATATGTGCTCCTTGTGTCCATGAATGGCCTGCTCCTCAGACACTTCCGTAGTTGGCATGTTTTCTGATATTCAAAATCTTACTTCATACTGATAAAATCAAACACGTGGTGATGTGGCAGAGTTTCTTCAGTGTGCAAAATCGTTAGCTGCGTATTTCGGTACTCCAAATCGTTACTAGGGCACTTCAGTACTCCAAATTGTTACTAGGGTACTTTGGTACTCCGGTACAGCAAACCGTTACTAGGGTACTCCGGTACAGCAAACCGTTACTCCGGTATTTCGTTACTTCAGTACTCCAAATCGTTGCTTGGGTACTCGGTACTTGAAATCGGTTTTCAGTACTTTTCAAAGTAACTGTTACTTGAGTAATGGGTTATTTTGTACCGGGTACAAGAAAGTACCGAAGTTGCCTATCACTAATTATCACTACATATTTCGTTTCATATTTTATCTTTTCATTTTAAAAAAATTTTATGTTTAACCAAAGTTTTTGAACGTCCTTTAATGAACCTTCTGACAAGTTTGGAGTCTTGTGGCATAAACTGGCACCACATTTGATGACCTAAGTAGATTGCTGCAGTTATGCATGGCCAAAGTGAAGTGCTCAAGGAAGCTGAGTACTGAGATCCCATGGCAGAGGTGTCTGTGCAAACAATTCTATTGTGGAGCTGCAAATCAGGAATATTTCAGTGAAAGTACTTATTTCTTAGTATGTCAGTGCTGATATTGGATATTTTTTTTTTTTTTTCAGCTTATTATGTGTTTCAGAGTGTAGATAAAGCCGATTCACAGAAGCTTTTTCTTTCTGTTATATTACTGTGTACAGCAGGGGTTCCGAAAGTCTGCGTCAAGGCACCCTGGCACACTGTTATGTAAGGCCAGGGGCACCGCGAACATGAAGAACTTGCGTTGAACAAGACAAGACTTGTATTGAAAGCTCAGCCATATTTTTTATTATTATATTTACAATATAAAATCATATTTTTAACATTTTTATTTCTCCCTTTAATCTCAAATCATTCTTAGTCTCAATATCATTTTTAAAGCACTATTTTATTCTATCACTTAATTCTTTCAGTTTGCAGTAATTTATGTTGTTCAATCAGATTGTACTCAATTATTAGTGCAAAGGGGCTTTGTCCTTGAAGGACTATTGTTTTCGTTTTGCGATTTTGCGTTGAATCACTATAAATGTCCGTTTCACTTTTTCAAACTGTTGCCACCAAATAGAGTTTTGCATTATATTTGAAGAAATTAAATAATGAAAAATCTGCATAAATGTATGTATATTTCTTGCATTGTGATAAAACAACGGTACATACAGCCATTGAATTTTAAATGACGTAATCCTACTTCGAATATGGGCATGTGGAAGACCAGATTTGAAATTTGGAATTTGTTTTATTATCGATTTCATATTTTGTAAAACTTTAACGAATTTTTGAGTAACAAACTCAACGATCTAAAAACGAGCAATGGCAACACTCTATGGCCGGCAAAGGGGGAACCTTTTTATCTCTAGCAGGCACAGAACTGTGTATCGGAAATTTTAAAGATATGCTCATTTAAAATTATTTTGCGACATTGCAGCTGAACTGAATTTTATGGTTTAAGTGCAAAGAACGTGATATTTAATAAATAAAGGTAACACACAAAAATGCTTTAAAAATGCCCCATTGGACGTAATTTAAAATCTGAAAACCTTTCAGATTTTTTTTTTGGGGGGGGGGTTGTTCTCATATATTTTTGCACCTATTACTTCCTGTCACAAGACTGCAGTATTTGGCTTCACAGCAGTGACATCTATTGGTGCTACGTTTTCCCGTTTGTGACCATCAGTGTCAAACTCGGGAACAGATGAGGAAGGTCGTACAATCTTATATGTCTGTGAAAAACGAAAGTTGGGATCTCGATGAAATAATGCAATAACTCAATGAATCCATACTGATATTTCACAAAATGAAAAGATTTTTATTAAACAAGAAAACAGATAGTAACGATAGTTCAAGTTTGAGTGACAAGGCTTCAAAACTGGCACAGAATAAAAGAGACAAAAACATAGTAAATACAAAGAATGTTTCTTTGATTTTGCTTCAGTAGATGTAAATAACAATGAAATGCAACGATGACAGATGTATGCAAGGCAATGTGTTCATGAAACAAGTGTCAGTTCTGAGTAACTCACAGCTAGCGTCTTTCCAGGTAGCTTACAGAATGATGAAGTACAAAAAAATACACACTATTGCAGAAGAGCTGCTATTAATGTTATGGTACAGAAACTCATCTCTAAGTTAACTGTATGCAACAACACAATTAGAATTCAATGTATACCTTGTATGTACGAAGAATTAAATGTTCAGAATCTCAATGATCAGTTAATAGAGAAAATGAAACAAAATGAACTCGGTCCACAATTAGATGAGAGGCTTACTGAGAGTAATAAAAATGCAAATTTTTATGTACACTTCCTGGATGATAATGCTGAAGATCTTCTGTTTTGTAAGAGTATCATCGGGAGTGCAAAGGCTCAAGACTTATTCAAAATGCTTCACAAGTTTATAATGGAAAATTATTTAAATTGCAAGAAGTGCATCTGTGTATGTACTGATGGTGCTCAATCAATGCACGGTCACCATGCAGGACTACAGGTATTTATTTGAAGCTAAACACTGCATGTTGTGTGGACCCACTGCATTAGTTACTAGGAGCCTTTTGCATCGAAATCGCTTAGTCCTCAGTTGAATATGGCATTAGAATGTGTCATAGACATAGGGAACTGCATAAAAACTAGACCACTGAAGGCAATTTTTTTTTTCAAAAACCTATCCAAGGATTTCCATATCCAAGGATTTCCATATGAACACAGAGCTATGCTGTACTATGCCAGTTCATGATGGTTTTCAAATGACAAGATCCAGTCTCGTATTCGGGCAGTATCCAGAATTTCACACTTTTCTGCAAGAGGAAGGTCATGCAATCATTAAGAATTTTTCCGAACCAGACTTTCTGCTGACACTAGCATATAGGGCAGCACTTCTGACAAGCTAAAGTTCTTGAATCTGTCACTACAGGACAATATATGCACATCTTGAAACCTGAAGAAAAGATTTCAACATTTAGGAAAAAGCTGGAGTTGTAGATAGAAAAAATGAATAGCGATGGTGCTCAAGATTGTTTTTCTACATTGTACCAATACACAACTTCTAATAAAGTTCTTGTTCTATACGAATGGCCATTCCTTTTCATGGAACACCTTTCAAAGCTCACCGACTGGTTTGCAAAATACTTTGCAGAAGCTAATGTAGAGAAATTTATGTTGATCTAAGATTCTTTTCATTCGCAAGATGAAGAAATTAGAAGTTTTGTATTTCAATCAAAATTTAGTATCTAACTTTAAATTCTAAAGCTCTAAGCATCATCATTCCCTTTGCAACACCCTATCTGTGTGAAGCTTGGTTTTCAGCTGTTGCTCTAATAAAGATTAAATACTGTTCGAAAATCAACGTGGAGCAAAAAATGAGATTAGCTGTCTCAAGTCATCTTCCACAATTTGAAAAATTGGTATGGGCATCAAGAAGTGCCACAATGAGTTTCTAATTTGTTACTGAAGGTTTCTTTTATTTGTATGTTTTCTGATCAATAAAAATTATTAGACTTTTGCACTAAACTGTTGTTTTTATTCCTTTGCCTGACTTTCATTATGGCAGAAATATTGCAAAAGGGGCGCCATGTGGAAAAAAAACCAAACTGTAAGTGCGCCGCATACTGAAAAAGTTTGGGAACCCCTGTTGTACAGTATTCTTTTTATGTAGTGAATATTTTATATTTTCGTTGATATGAATTTTCATTCCATTGTGTATCCTTAATAGATATGGATAATAGAAATGGTTTTCTATCTATTTACATTATGTTTTGGTATTAATATTTGTAATACTTAGTTGTACAAAGGTGGTAATGTCGCGTAATGAAAATTCCGCTAATGACATCGCAGCTGAGAGTGCAGTGGCTACACGTGTTGCATGTTTTGGTAAAATTACCGCCTTTTTGGAAAAGAAGCCCCGACTTACGGTTTGTCAGACTGGCATCGCAGTTTTCCCTTTCCGAAATAACTTCAGATTTAACAAAATGTAACCATGTCACTGCTGCTGTAAATTCTGATATAATTAATTCTGTTGCCAATATCATAAACCTCCCACTACTGAAAAATATGCCCTAAAACAAAGATTAATTTCAGTAAATTTCGAGAGCGAAGCATCGAAAATTCATACTCTCTTGTAAGGTTTAGAGCTTGGTGACCAACACTGTTCCAGTTACTGACTCATATGCATA